GCGACACGCTGTCCGCTCGCAAGTCATGGCGTGTCGCCGAGGCCGCCGCCGCGACACGCTGAGCAAAAGTTCCCGACTGTAAGTGAGGGGTTGCGCGGGGCTAAGGACCTCCTCCTCCTCCTCCTCCTCATCCTCCTCCTCCTCCTCCCCTTCCTCCTCCCCCTCCTGCTCCTCATCCTCATCCTGCTCCTCCTCATCCTCATCCTCATCCTCATCCTCATCCTCCTCATCATCCTCCGCCTCCTCCTCCTCCTCCTCCTCCTCCTCCTCCCCCTCTTCGTCCTCCTCCTCCTCATCCTCATCCTCCTTCTCCTCCTCCTCCTCCTCCTCGTCCTCCTCCTCCTCCTCCTGCTCCTCCTCCTCCTCCTGACCTCTTCCGCCGCCAGGTCGAGACAAGAGGCCCGCGGAGTCCATCTGGAGCACAGTGTCCGGCATGTTGCCCTTCGGGAACGCAGGAGCAGCACGGCTTGTCGTCCCGTTTACCACGTCGTCGTTGCTCCCCCACCAGTTCCCATTGCAAAGAGAATCACGACGGACGGCTCTGGGCTGCAATCGGCCTCCAGGGGCCCTCACCAGGCCCCAGGGCCGCCAAAGAACGGTTCGGGATGGAGATCCGGTCTCGGGGAGGGGGCCCGGGTCTCCGAGGGCCCGCGCTGTGAAAGAGCGCACCGCGTCGGAGTGTTGGGCTGCCGGCCCCGAACTCAGCGCCTTCCGATCCGATTGCCGCGCGTGCTCCCGCTGCCTCTCGAAGACGAAGAAGAAACGGCATATATATATATGTATACATATATCTATATGTATACATATACATATAGATATACATATATATATATATATATATATATACATATATATATATATGTATATATAAACTTTGACGCTCCGCGCGGAGTTCTTCGATCTGTGCCTGGGCCCCCCCGGCGGCGCCTCCGGCGCCGCCCCTGGCGCGCTCCGCGCGCCAGGGAGGTAGGTCCAGCGCAGATCCAAGAAATCCGCGCGGAGCGCCAAAAGTTTATGTTTTTTTGCTGTTGTTGCATGTTGGCCAGCTCGCTACAGCGGTGCCCCCGTTTAGTTGGCTCCTTCCACCAGCGCAGGCGCCCCCCGCCTAGCCGCCGACGCAAGAAGTGCATGCCGCTGTTTCTTCTTCCGGCCTCGTCTTTCCCGCGCTTGCCACACGCCGGGTTCGCTGCCCGAGGGGCCGCCTGCGCTCCCCCTCTCTCGCCGGGGCAACAGAGTGGGCGGCAGAAGATTCGGTTCGAGTGACGGCGGCGGTGGCAGCAGCAGCGCCGATTGCAGTGGCGACAGCGGCCGCAGCAGAGACGGCAGCGGTGGCAGTGGCAGACGCGGCACGTGTCTCGGAACCGACAGAGGCAAGCGACAGCGACAGCCGCATCCACATTGGCAGCAGCACCGTCTTGCTTCGGGTGGCGACAGGCGGTGGTGGTAACGAACCGTCTGGCTTCGAGGGGTCAAAGCGCAAGTCTTCCCTTGCGGAAGGAATGTGCCAGTTCGGGGAGATCACATATTGGAAACCCATGCCAAGAAACACCCTGCTTGCCTCCAGGGTGCCCTGGGGTTCTTGGGTTTCGATGGTTAACACCATGCTTGCCTCCAGGGTGCCCTGGGTTTCCTGGGCTCCGATGGTTTTGCTATGGAGAGCGTGACGATCCCACACCAAAAACCAATGGACGTCCTTGGGTATCACGGTTGTGTTTCTTGTGGAAGGTTTCTTGTAATCGAATTCCCATTGTACATCATGATTGCGTCTAATTTCACGGTCAAGTGGCCAAGCATGTGTCTAACGTCACAGTGCGCTATTGGTTGGTCAATTCTATCCCTGGGCCGTGAGCTCTCGTCTCGAGGTATGAGATCTGGCCACCTGGCATGTTCGATGTGCGCGTCACGGGAGAAGCGAGCGGTTGCAGATGGAAAAGGACGAGGTAAGACAGTCACAGTTGAATGAGAAGGGCGCAAGTGGGCGCAAGCAGTATTTCGCACGCGCAGGTGATCGGGGTCCAAAAAAAAGGCCCTACAAAGAAGCAAGTTAGCCAGCAAACAACCAAACAGCAACAGGGAAACGAAACCAGATGGGCAGGCGAGCAGACTGCCGAGCAGAAGGCCGAGATCTTGGCCTGCTCCGCGGAGGTTCAGTCTTGGAAGTCAGTCGCGCAGGACCGGGCAGGGAGGGTACGAGGGACGGTGGAAGAAAAGGGCAGGGCAGAAAAACTAGAGAAGAACATGACATCACGGGGGAAAGGGCGGAGGAAGGGGGGAGGAGGCGTGTGCCACAAGGCTCGGGAGGGCTCGTGCGGCAGCGGCCAGCATGGAACAGCAAAGGAGGGAGAGGAGAGGAGCAGGGAGAGTAAAGTGCAGGAGACGGAGCGGAGGAGGGAGGAGAGGAGAGGAGAGTGCGGACCAGGAATACCCCCGTCAGACTTGCATGCGGCAGTCGATGATTATCAGAATGTGTGTTAGCCCAATGCGTGTTTGCCCCGTTCAGTTCCGCCGAGAGCGCGCAGCTTGTAACACCAGCTGCCAGGGCTCTGGTGGACAAGCAAACGTTGGCGCTAACACACGGTCTAAGGATCATCGAGGCAGGCCACGGGAATCGGGGAGCCGCCGGCGGAGCGTCGGTATTTTCTGTGCCCGCTCAGAACAGCCCGCCCTGTCTTCTGGGGGTCGGCCCGTGGAGGTGGCGTAGTGCCACTCGAGAGAACGAGGGACAGTTCGGACGAGACTAAGGGCAAATCCGTTCCAGGGCTGTCTGGAACGCACTCAGACCGTTCTGGAACGCTCTGGGAGGGCCGCGGCGCCCGAGACGTCCTCCTGGACCGCCCGGTCTCAGAGATCCCCGATTTATCCTCACCCGAGTTTATCCTCGGCCTTGTTTCGTTTTAGTTGAGGGAGGGGGTGGCAGGGCAAGCGCAGAGGAAGTTCTAGACTGGAGAAGAGGAGGCCGGGCAGGCGCAGGATGGAGGAGGACGTCTGGAGATCGAAAGCAAGATCGCTTCTGTTCGAATTTGTACGAACATGCCTGTTTGCTCTGGAGGTATTCGGGCGACGAGATCTATATTTGTGGAGTCCCAAACCCGGATAGCGGAGCGCCAAGAAGGCCTTCCAAAACCCTTTGGAAAGAGCTCTGAAAGCTCTTGAAAGGAGCTTCCGAAGAAGCTTCTGGAGAGCTTCACGGCACACATACACTGGGCAACGCTTAGAACAGGTTTTTCGGGACACGTGGAAAGCTCAAGCAAGGCGCAGCGGGGAGTCCGGCCAGAAGCCGGAACGAGCTCTGGGGCGACCCTGCGGTGCCAGCTTCGAACTTGAAACCCTCTTAGCTCTCAGAAAGCTATCCGGGAACATTTTCACTGCTCCGTGGCCCCCATTCTGAACCCAGGAGCTGTGTATACGCACTCCTGGCCAAGCAAGGAGAGCGTTGCGTATACACCGCTGCTGGGTTCAGGACGGCCAGGGAGCAGTGGAAATGTATAGATTTCGTCGCCCTGAGGTATGGCTGGGTTGTCCTCGTCGGCGATTGCTGCACAGGGCTCGGAAAACAAAATGATGTTGACGTTCGGGATGGCACCTCGGAGAAGCTATTCAACGCATTTGCGCACTAGGGAACTCTCACGTTTGTGTATAAGTTTCTGAGGCACGGGTGAGCAATTCTGTAGAG